GCCAGACTGTTCCGGTACATTTTGATCTATCAGTCTAGGCACCCATTACTTTTGCCTTTCCAGACGTAATAAGATGACACTTGGGATTACAAAAGTAAGCGTGTAAAAAACTATCATTTTGGCACAGCTTGAAGAAAGCTGTGAGTGTAGTATCATTGGGTGTGTGAACTACCTGAATAGCATTTGTTTCATTGAAGTAGACACGTTGACCGTTTTCCAAATAAATGTAATGGGAAGCCAAACATGCGTCAAAATTACTTATTACTGAAGTATCTGCCCATTTCATACTGGGTTACCTCATTTTCCCGCTCAAGCCAAACATGACCGCATCTGATCCCTTGTTCACGCACTTGCAAATATACTTGATGGATTTCACCGAGTTGCATGTGGGCATTAAATGTCTTTGACAGCAAGGCTAACCTCATATTATCCAACCTTTGCTGAATACTTGTCATCATCTCGGCTTCTACACCTCTCAAAATAGTATCCGTTATTACAAGTTTGTGTTTCCGTAAGAAATTTCAAGGGAATTTTTTTTGAGTATACATTGTTCTTCAGACATGGTGAGTTGAGGTTAAAACCCCTCCCACATGAGCCATGTACCATGTTCGTTTTAACAATTTTATGGAGCTCCTCGTCAGTCGATAGATTTGAAAACTCCGCGGTGATTATCCTGTTATAACAGCACTCGTAGCCCGGCGATTGCATCTCGCATGAATTTTTGTTGACATCCAAAGCAGAATGTGAGCGTGTGGTAGCCATGGTTTTACCACTCAGTTATTTACGAACCCAAATGTTTTCACCTTTTTAATCCAATCTATGAGCTTCTCCAACTTCCGGCGAAAGACTGGCAAAGATGTCAGGTGTTTCTTTGGTCTTTTGGTACAGAAAAAGTTCGTCTTCAATTACCTTCCATTTTGGGTTGCTTGAAATGCTTACAAAGTGATCTGGCCTACCATAGTTGCGTACATGGGTCATGTCATCCTGCGTCCTTTCATGCATACCTCAAGGCCCTTCTTAAAGCCTGACGATAGAATGAAGAGCTGCCAAATGTTGCTAAGTGCTACATTATTGTTTTCTCCGATCGCAGTTGCCTTTGATTGTTTCTAATGAAACACAGCCTCCATTTTAACAGCAGTATCAACTGAATACGGATGAAAGAGATCTCGAGAGGGATGAAGATGATTAAATGAGTTGAAACGCGTCATAAAACGGTACGCACAAAATTCCGATACGATATTTCTTTGTTTAACATATTCTCCGGATTGCTTTGATTACGATGTTTAATACCAAAATGGTAAACATCTTCACCATTAACAAATAGGAGAATATACTGAAGAGCATCAGAAGATCTATGTGTCTCATTAATTCGTTGAAGCGTGTTGTCTCGTGGCTTTAGAACAATGTCTCTCTTGTTATGTTAGTCACCAAGCAGAACCCCTGCTATTTCATTGCAGGAGAAGTGACTCCTGAGAAGCTGACCCGGAAGGTGTACAATAGGTTTCTTGTCTGCATCTATGATCGCATTAAAGTTGTGAGTAGGAGCACTTTCCAGAGCACATTTAAAGTTTTGACATAGCTATTTCTACAATGCATCATCTTTGCTGTCTCAGTGTAAGCGCGAACTTGGTGTCAGACAAAATAAAATTACGCCTGTCCGCTTGTTCTTAGGAGTTGCCAACAAAATATAACTGAAGAAATTGTGGCTCTCCATTTGTTAGTACTCGTGGGGACCCAACCCTGACCATGCACTTTAAAAGTGGGCACCAAACCACCTTCCCTAATATTGTTAGCCTCGAATGAAGTCATTTGAAAAGGGCAATTTTACTTCATAATATTTTCCAAAAAAATGTTTTGACGCTTGAGTGATGCCTGAAAGAAGAAGCTTCAAAGGCTCTGTCGGATCTTCCAGTAATGGAATCCTGACTTTTCCACTTAAACAGAACTTTTCAGACGGCTTCAAATTTATCACAGACTTAAGACATAGAGTCTATTTTCACTTTCTTTTCAGAAGTTAAGTCATATATGGCTGATATATAAAGGTGGCATGGTGTCACTTCTCCAAAGTAAGAGCAGCTTTTCTATCCCTAGTTCTGACAATCTTTTGTATTTCTTGCCTTTGTTCAGTGAGCAGTCCTATGGGTTCTATTGGCTTGTAGTCATTTGCTTAGAAGTCGCTTCTACCCTATTAGCAGCAGACCAAGCTCTATCAACTGTCAGTCTTTCCTGACATTGCCGAGGAAACTCAGTTGCCCTGACCGAACTCTAATAGCCTGCAGCCTTTCATGTCTTTGGTCATGAGTCTCAATTGCACTTCTGGCAGCTTTCTTAGCTCCTGAAGTCTTTCCTGTCTTTGCACAAGAGTCACATCTGCTCTGCGAGCAGCGGACCTAGCGCTGGCTACCTGAAGTCTTTCTTGTTTTTGCTCAGTAGTTTAAGCTGGTCGGCAAGCAGCAGACAAATTTGGTTTCCCGAAGCCTTCTCTGGTGTTCTGTACCCCTCCTGGTTCATTCGGTTTGCAGTCTTTCTTCCCTTTGTTCTGATGTTTCAACTGCCCGATGTAAAGAATTTCATGCATTTTATATTTCTCTCAGTGTTCGGGTATCTTCCATAACTCTTCTTGGAGAACACCTTGAATTTGATTTCTCTTGAGTTGCTAAAAGTCTTGATTGATGTTGTATAGTGGCGTGGTACTTCAGGGATAAAAATTAATAGTTGGTTTACTCGTACCAAGATAATTAATGATGGATAGTAATGACGAGTAATACTTAGCTTTCTTGCATGAAGTTCTTTGAAATGCCAAGAGCTTCGTTAAGGCAGATAATATAACCGGCGAGTAATTTGACAATGGCGAAAGTCTGAACGCTGTGCGCGTGAACAGAAATGAAAATTTTCACATGGCTTCGGACGCTCTTCTCTTGTTGATTTAATTTCACGCATAGGATCATTATTTTTATTCTTTCTTTTTCTAGACTCGACGACTAATTCCTATGAAAAACAACGTTTTCATTGGTCCAAAGAAAATTTCAAATAGACCGGCGAATTTGTTTTGTCTTTTTCTTCAGCTCGCCGGTCAATATTTTTGAACTGAAAGTTTTCATTGGTCAAAAAAAAAAAAAAAAAAAAAATTCCCATAGGCACGTGAATTTCTTTCCATCTTTTTCCTCAGATCGCCCGAATTTGAAAGACGTGGAAGTTAGTAATATTTCGCACTCACATTTAGCTTTCCTCAATAAGTGAAATTATATTGCAGACTTTCTAATCTTACGGCCACATCATGTTGAAACATCACCAGAATTAAGCAACGTCGAGCCTGGTCAGTACTTTGATGGGCGACTGCTTAGGAATACCAGGTGCTGTAAGCTTGGATGTACGCGTAGTGTAATGGATCATGGGTCGAAATTGTTAATCGGAGTGCCGAGTTCCAATTCCAGCTGGGTTCGTCTTTTTTTTTTCATTTACTCTTATGGAAAATATAAATCTACCTCATCTCGCTCCCAGCTATGGGTTAATTAGTAAAATTTGTATCACTAAATCCCTATTATCTAAAAAAAAATTACAATATAAAAATATTTTCTGGCTTTAAACAATCTGAGATGGTTGACAAGCCATAGAAAATTAATCAACCAATCAGTCATTCTAAAGTCGTTCTATTATCCACTGATTGAGTTACTTGAATTCTTGAGTTGAAACTGACGCCTGCCACACCCTTTAAAGCTAAACTATAACTTTATATTATAATTGCTGTAAGTGAAACGCCTCACTGATATATGTTTGAACATTCTTAAGTTTTCGTCTAAAGCCAATAAAATACGTTCTTTATGAAAAATGGCTACAAATTATAGCAATTTTCCAAGCGTAGTTTAGATGCGGTACAAAGCGGAAAGTATGGAGCACCCAGTGAGGATCGAACTCACTACTTAGTTGTAATTGTCTTAGCGAGACAAGCTTGCCAACCATTACACCACCTCGGGGTGTCCCTGGATACGATATATAAAAGTTTAAACTGACAGCAGAAGGATATACATGTCGAAATAATGTCTAACTAAAAAACATCTCGACGATTTTTTTTTTGCTAAATTCGGAAATTATTGTAAGTTGCTATTTTATCGGGCACACTGTAAATATAGCCTGGAGTCAAAATAGCTTTTGTTGCAAAATCCTATGGACACTGATACATGTAGCGTGCTAGTATTAAATGTCATAGTTGCTGACTGCTTTAAAAATGCAGACTTGTGCCAAAGTCCAATAAATAGCATTTTTACACATGATTAAACAAGGGAGTGTGAAAGAATATGAGAAAAAGGAAAACATTATTCAGGAGAAAGAATAATAAAAGAAGAAAATTAAGAAGCCAAAAATTAACAATTGGGACTGCATTTGAAATTTTTGAAGATCAGTGTTGACTGGAAAGCAAGAGGCCAAAGTGCGATATAAAAAAAAAAAACTTAGCGGAGAACTTACGGTTACGTCTAGTAAATTCAAATGTAAAATGACGCGATGTTGCTGCGAATCTAGTAGTTTGCTCAAATTCCTAAATTCCAGCTACCAAAGAGGAAAGGTCATCGGAACAAGTACCATGAAAATATTTATAGAGAAGGCACAGTGAAATTAGTAGCTAAATTAAATAGAAATCGATTTTTTGAAGATCATTTAATGTGCAAGGCGTCATCAAACTTGTAACAACCAAGAATTCAATCAAAGATTATTAATGTCAAACGCCATCTTCTGTCGCCTTTAACTCCCTTTATCTTTCCTCAATAACCCTGTACCCAGTCTTTTCTCTCACTTTCACTCTCTGTAATCCCCTGCCTGCTAGTGGCTTTCCCGCCTTGCTTGGGGTGAATTGATTACGTAAAAAAAAAAAAAACATGACTCTAATCAAATTATATTCAATTGAAATCAATGATTTTTTTAAAATCATGGCAGAATTTGAATTAATTAGCTTTTCAATGTTTGTATTATATAAAAACCATATTAAGATCTATTTTCAGTGTGGCTTACAACCATAGCATGTTGAAACACCGGTTCTTGTTCGATTACCGAAGTTAAGCAACGTTTAACCTTGTCTGTACCGAGATGGCTGATCACTAGGGAATACCAGGTGCTATGCGGTTGGTGTAATAAATAAAGGCTCGGAATGAGAAATCAGGGAGCCAAGTTTTAATTTCAGTCAGATTCATTACATTTACTTACGCGCAAATACCCTTCGGAAAGATATGAATAACCCTATTCCCCCCAGCTATGGGTTAAATAGTAAAAACTGAATCTGGAAATCATTATCTATAAAATATTCTTATAATCCAAAAATATGTTTCGGCTTAAAATAATATCAGAAAGGTTGATACGGCGTAAAAAACAAATCAATCATATTTTCAGTGTATAATTTTCATTGTAAAATTCTAAATGAAATCGAGTTCGTTCTGGAATAAGTGAACTATATAGATCGTAATCGAATTTACATCGTATGAGAATGAATATTAATTAGGTTCGAATATCTAATTAAAATTTATTAATTAATTCGCGTTGTTATCAAAGTTGTAATGGAAGGTACTTTTCTGTTGGTAGAAGGAAAAATAGAAAGAAAATATGTGTTGTAACATTTTATTCACACACGAGATTTAAATAATGTCAGATAAATATGGAGGTAGACGAAAGAAATAACAAACTTCTTGAACCCAATAAGACAATGACTTATGGACGGTGACGGTCTTTATATTCAATGTCTTCAGTCATGTCAAACGGATAATGCATCCCAGTTATTGAAAAAAAAATCAATAACGGTGAACATTGTAATGAAGCGCTGACGGAGATATGATAAAACCTTTCTTTATTCTTATATATATATATATATATATATATATATATATATATATATATATATATATATATATATATGTGTGTGTGTGTGTGTGTGTGTGTGTGTGTGTAAATATAAAATGAACATTCAATTCAATATCCAGCGGCGACAGACTGTTTCATGTTTAAACGCAATCTTCAAGCCCAAGATTTTGTTTAAGCATGAAACAGATTGTCCAATTGTCCATATATATATATATATATATATATATATATATATATATATATATATATATATATATATATATTGCGTTTAAGCATGAAACAGACTGTCACCGCTGGATATTGCATTCAATGTTCATTTTTATATTATTTACATACGCTCTATTCCAGATATTGATCACCAATACATATAGCATAACTTAAAACTATATATATATATATATTATTTGGTTGGATAGATGTGAGTTTGTGACCCTGAGTTTCACGCTATGTCACACAATGCAGAAATAAGGAGCGACTAGTTTTGACTGAACTCCCTATTCAGTCGTAATTGATTAGGTATATATATATATATATATATATATATATATATATATATATATATATATATATACATTATATATATATATAAAATATATATATATATATATATATATATATGCTTGATAAAAATGATAAATGATAAAAGCAACACAACAAAATAAAAGATACATATAAATGTATATTAGAGTTATAAAATGTTTAAATTTTTAAAATGCCGGATGTGTGACATTTGTGCAGCTGAGCCAACATTACTTCAATCTTTCTTCCTTTTTTAGACGCCCGCCTCCATTCTCCCAGGACAGATTTGTTGTGATGAAACTTGTTATTTTCGCTGTCGGTTCATCTTTTCTGCCACTTCTGCTCAATGAAACTATCTATATCACTTTCCAGGCCCGCATATCGGATCCTAAAACTGTTATCATTTCGGGCAGACATTGCTGCCGAATCTACCTGCTCATTCCTTTTAATTCCCATGTGGCTTGGGATCCTGAATATTACGCCTATTCTTTATAATAAGAGTATAATTAAACAAATCCTTTAAGGCAACTTATCGTTGCGTAATGATCAACAAACTAGACTTCTGGGTTATTAGTATTGGGCTTCATCTTCAGTAGATGAACGTAGCTGTGACTTTCGGCGTCATGTAATGGTTAGCGAGTACGTCTCTTTAATCATCACAGATGTTTTGAGTTCGATCCTCACTGAGAGCTCTGAACTTGCATTATTACATGTGATCAACAATCAAGTCATATTAAGTTTTTAGGGAGACGTCTGTAAAATGATTCGAATATAACAGGCCAAATGGAAAGCAATGATGCTTATAACAGGTTTAATGGAAATGATACTTTTAAAACGTATCATTTACTTGGCCTTCTACTTCTATGTGCCGTGTCCCTTCACGATGTGGGCGATCACGGCTCTCTACAATTTTCTTGTCCCTTGTAGCTTTTAGTAAATATTATATTTTTGCTATCTCTCCTAAATCCTGTTCTGCCATCCATTTACATAAGCTCATTAAGTTGAGTATGCGCGGTTTCTTCTGTTCTGCTTGAGTTCATTATGTCCTGTGAGTGTTTTCTAAGCTATCTTTACTTGTTATATGCTCGTGAAATGCCAACAGAATCTTCCAAATGTTCAGTATAAGTGTCCTATTTGCTTATATTTTCCCTAAAACTTCGTTGTTGCTCACAGGTCCAGTCCATTCGCTTCATTCTCCTATAGAATCATATTTCGGTTTTTTCTTTATTTGTGAGGAGATTGCTCAACATTCACTAGCATTTAGGAGGACTGATATTACATAACAGTTCAATAAGCTTTTTTTATTCTATTGCTTCAAGTCTCTTCTTCATCTGTAAGGAAACTGTCCAGCATTCACTACCATATAGGAGGACTGATATTACATAACAGTTCAGTAATCTGTTTTTTTTTTGTTTCTGTTGCTTCAAGTCTCTTCTTCATCTGTGAGGAGATTATACAGCATTAACTTCCATATAGGCGGACAGATGTTATGTAATATTTCGGTACTCTTTTCTCCGTTTCTAACGAATTTTTTTTGTTTCGTAATATTTTGATCAGCTTTGGAAAACATGTATCCAAATATGCCTTCGGATATAAGTATGGCACTTTCTGTTAATTGATTACCCAGATATTCAAATTGTTGTGCAGGATTCATTTCTGTATCTCCAATTTTTAATTTGTATTCTGGGCATTTCCTTTGGGCTGACAACCACGCATTCTGTCTTCTTGCAGTTGATTTTTAGTTCTTTTTTTTCTCTCGCTTTTCCACCGTTCCCTTCTGTTGGAGTTCTTGTAGTTTCCTTTCTGTGTCTGCTATCAATACTATGTCATCATCATATCTTATGTTATCAAAAAAGCAACCGCCAATAACGAATCATGATAAGACTTCAAATTACTTTAAAAACTCTCTACTTTCCAAACGGTTGTTTACAATCTATAGAATTAGTGACGTTCGGGATGTTTTTCACTTGAAACGATTCTTTCTTTCTTTCTTTTTCGTTTGCCCAATGCAAGACACAAAAGACAGTCAAGTTTAGTGATACTTTGCCATAAGGCTACTTCAAAAATAATTTATTCTTTGACGATTGAAATTTCCCTCCAATTAACCGTTAGACTAATTCTTCATCTAGAATGTTGTAATCAATAAATAATAAACTATATCATTTGAGGCGCTTTATCATAAAACCTTAGTCAGCAGACTGGACTTGCAAAATATTAGTAGTGAGTTCGATCTTTTTCGGGGTGTCCTATTCTTTTAGTCATCTATCAAAACTAAACCACTCTTAATAAATAACGACAAAAGTATAGGTTTCAGACAGTTGAAATTCCATGGACGTATAATGAGAATGGAGGGATTGGAGAATATGGCACAGACTGGCCATAACGAAGGCCACCATTCTGGTGAGCATGTGTAAATTGATGGGTGAACTGAGAGCAGAACTTTTAGTAAAGTTAGAAACGTTGCCTAGGACTATGAGTGGGAGAAAGAGTTGATGAGGTCGGCACGTAGAAACAGTGAAGATCCAGATATTTAAAGATTTCCTTTAAAAATTAACCAGTTAGAGGAAAATAGTATATTTCTGCTTTTCTAACAAATGTAGTTCATTTAAAAAATCATCTATCTATCTATCTATCTATCTATCTATCTATTTTCTATTCTTTCTTTCTTTCTATCTATCTATCTCTCTTTCTTCTTCTTTCTTTCTTTCTTTATCTATTTCTTTCTATCTTCTTTATCTTTCTTTCTTTTTTTCCTTCTTTCTTTATTTATCTATCTATCTATCTATCTATCTATCTATCTATCTATCTATCTATCCCATTTCCTTTCTTTCTTTCATTTCTTTCTATCTTTATCTATCTATCTATCTATCTATCTATTATCTATCTATCTATCTATCTATCTTTTCCCATCTTTCTTATCTTTCTTTCTTCTATCTATCTATCTATCTATCTATCTATCTATCTATCTATCTATCTTTTCTTTCTTTCTTTCTTTTTTTCTTTCTATCTTTCTCTATCTATCTATCTATCTATCTATCTATCTATCTATCTCTTTTCCTTCTTTCTTTATCTATCTATCTATCTATCTATCTATCTATCTATCTATCTATCTATCTATCTATTTCTTTTCCTTCTTTCTTTCTTTCTTTCTTTCTTTCTTTCTTTCTCTATCTATCTATCTATCTATCTATCTATCTATCTATCTATTCCAGTCTCTTTAAATCTAAGTGTCACTCTGTCCACATCAGTTTACATCAATATGGCCTTTCTTTCTTTCTTTCTTTCTTTCTTTCTTTCTTTCTTTCTTTCTTTCTTTTCATAAGCACACAGAAACCAACATTTGATCATATACCTATATAATTTCGTTTGTGTGAGATCTTTTTATCAATTCATCCCAGAGAAGGCAATAATGCCACTAAGACACAATGAACTCTTGGGACTAAATGAACCTGGAAACTAAATAAAAAGACTTTAGAATTAACTGGAAACGCAATTCGAAGTAGGAAAGAAGCAATAAACCTTTAATCCTATTCAAAAGATCGGGGAGGAGTGTAACTGGATTATAGCCGAATCTATCTATTCACATTAAGAAAAAAAATTTTAAAAATAGTAAATAATATTTCAGCGTATAGGAGGAGATGTTAGAAGTATACAGTTGACGTATACTTCAGAAGGGACCCGAAACTCAATCTTAAACAGGAAACAAGTCAGTTATATACATAATATACGGATGCTTTTCAAAAAGT